TGAAAATGGCTATACTGCCCAAAGTAATTTACAGAATCAACGCTATCCCCATCAAGCTACCATCGACTTTCTTCACAGAACTGGAAAAAACCACCATGAACTTCATATGGAACCAAAAGAGAGCCCGCATAGCCAAGTCAATTCTAAGCAAAAAGAACACAGCGGGGGGCATCACACTACCGGATTTCAAACTAGACTACAAGGCTACAGTAATCAAAACAGCATGGTACTGGTACCAAAACAGAGATATAGACCAATGGAACAAAACAGAGGCACTGGAGGCAACACAACATACATACAACTATACAATCTTTGATAAACCTGACAAAAACAAGCAATGGGGAAAGGATTCCATGTTTAACAAATGGTGTTGGGAAAACTGGCTAGCCATGTTCAGAAAGCAGAAACTGGACCCCTTCCTGACACCTTACACTAAAATTAACTCCAGATGGATTCAAGACTTAAACATAAGACCTGGCACGATAAAAACCCTAGAAGGAAATCTAGGCAAAACTATCCAGGACATAGGAGTAGGCAAGGACTTCATGAACAAAACACCAAGAGCATTGGCAACAAAAGCCAAAATAGACAAATGGGACCTAATGAAACTCCACAGCTTCTGCACGGCAAAAGAAACAGTCACTAGAGTGGATCGGCAACCAACAGAATGGGAAAAAATTTTCGCAGTCTACCCATCTGACAAAGGGCTGATATCCAGAATTTACAAACAACTCAAGCAGATTTACAGGAAAAAAACAAACAAGCCCATTCAAAAGTGGGCAAAGGATATGAACAGATACTTTACGAAAGAAGACATATATGAGGCCAACAATCATATGAAAAAATGCTCATCGTCACTGGTCATCAGAGAGATGCAAATCAAAACCACATTGAGATACCATCTCACGCCAGTTAGAATGGCGATCATTAAAAAATCTGGAGACAACAGATGCTGGAGAGGATGTGGAGAAAAAGGAACACTTTTACACTGTTGGTGGGAGTGTAAATTAGTTCAACCAGTGTGGAAGACAGTGTGGCGATTCCTCAAGGCCTTAGAAATAGAAATTCCATTTGACCCAGCAATCCCATTATTGGGTATATATCCAAAAGACTATAAATCGTTCTACTATAAGGACACATGTACACGAATGTTCATTGCAGCACTGTTTACAATAGCAAAGACCTGGAATCAACCCAAATGCCCATTGATAATAGACTGGATTGGAAAAATGTGGCACATATACACCATGGAATATTATGCAGCAATCAGAAATGATGAGTTCGTGTCGTTTGTAGGGACATGGATGAATCTGGAAAACATCATCCTCAGCAAACTGACACAAGAACAGAAAATGAAACACCGCATATTCTCACTCATAGGTGGGTGATGAAAAATGAGAACACATGGACACAGAAAGGGGAGTACTAAACACTGGGGTCTATTGGGGGGAAAATGGGAGGGCCAGTGGGAGGGGGAGGTGGGGAGGGATAGCCTGGGGAGAAATGCCAAATGTGGGTGAAGGGGAGAAGAAAAGCAAAGCACACTGCCATGTGTGTACCTACGCAACTGTCTTGCATGCTCTGCTCATGTACCCCAAAACCTATAATCCAATAAAAAATTTTAAAAAAAAAAGAGTATAATTGGAATTTGTGTAACTTAAAGAATGATTGAGGGGATGGATACCCCATTTCCTATGATGTGCTTTTTTCATATTGCATGCCTCCATATCAAAACATGTCATGTATGCCATAAATAGTATGTCCCCACAAAATTAAGAATAAAATATAAAAAATAACCATCTTTCTGTGTAGTAAACAGAGTTCCAAATCCGAGGCCTAGAGATTCAGATGAAACAACATACACTCTTTTGACTTGAAGAGTTTTCTCTTTGCTCTATACATAGGTGTTTGTAGAAGTTGACATTCTGGAACATTGACTTCCAACACAGCAAGAGGGATAGCCACACATATAAAATACAAGGACAGAGCAGGACTCACCAGTGCATTCTGTTGAAGAAGTGAGCAAGCCAAATTAAAATTATTTTTTAAACTAATTGATTTTAGCTTCTGAAAGGTCTATAGGACATTATCAGTTTCTGTAGGACCTATGATTTAGAATGTGAACTTGAATGTGATTGTGATCATTATGCAGTAATTGCTGTAAAAACCCAGGTTGGTGTTGGCCACATAGGACTACAACATTCAGATGGGGAGAATTAGAGTGTTTCTTTGACAAGTTCCTTTAAAGGTGGCAGTAAACTTAGTGCCTTTCAGTGTTCTCCTTTTTGCCATAGACTCACAGAGAGTGAGAGATGCCTGGCACCTCCACATCACTTCCTTAGCGGCCAAGATCAGCATATCACCCAGAATGAATTCTGGCTGTGAGAAAACATGGCATACACAGAGAGATGTTTGGCATTTGGTAATACCTAGGTGAGAGCTTTCTAAACTCTTATAAAGTATATGATGCATAAGGTCCATTTCTAAATACTAGAAATATCATGCTGTGAAAGCACAGAATGTCTCTAGTTAAGATGATAATGCCATGCAGAAAAACGTGGCAATGTCCAGTGTCAGTAGTTTGTTTCCCCATTGAGTCACCAGCCCAATACAAAGTACTGTCAAAATTACACCTGGAGTTGCTAAAAGAAAAATAATCTGAGGAAATGTACATTTTCAGTCTTAAGTTCCAAAGATTGGTCATCAAAAAGTGTTTTTGTCTATCTCGGCTGTCACCTTTACTACACTATAGTGGTCTGAGGTGTGAGGGGTGAACACAGCAGAGTTCCAGTTGCCCTTGTGAGGTTTGCTATCATAAACTTTGTCAAAGGAAGTATGCCTGATTACAGAAATGAATATTGTTCCCTGACGATCAATATAGAATCCTGGGTCATACTTCTCTTTACATTTAATAATGGATTCTGCTAAATCTGTCATGTTCTGTGGGATTGTATCACTTATATCTAACATCTGAAATGTGATGCAAGGCACTTTCATCAAAAAGGCTCCAGTCACGCCAGAGATGACAAATCCTGCATAGATGTATTCCAAGTATCTTACTGTTCTTTAAGTGACAGCTGTCACAAAATAATCATTTTGGTCTTCAAGGCCAAAAGAAGCAGAAAAATTTTTCATGACACTTTGTTATTAAAATGTGCCTGGGATCTCTTTAGTTTTTGAATTCTCCACAAGAAGAAAACATGATAAAACTAGTTGGTTTCAATTTTCATTGTATCACCTACTCTCACTCAGAATATTGACTTGTTTTTCATTTCTGAAACCCAACATGCTTAAAGTCATAAGGCAAATATTTAGCTATTTCAAATATGTTGCCTAGAACTATCTGTGTGGAGGCAATTCACCAGGTTTTCAAAGCACCTGAATTGTGAAATTTGTTTCCATGTTTTCTAGAAGCAAGTTATCATTATATTATGTTTACACAAACACAATCTGTTCTGGTCTTCATAGTATGGAACCATATTTGTCTGTAAAGGACCCACACACTTTACACTCCACAGTGGTTTTCTGTAGATGACCTTTACATATGTATCCACTCCCCTCTCCAGAGCTTTGCCAATCTTTGGTGGAAAATAGCTTTTTCTTCTATCTTTCTGGTTCTGGTGGCCATGACAAATGCCATTTACAAGAAGCAGTCTAATAGCATTGGATAGATATAATATCAATGCACTACTCTCTGGATATCTTCATTGAGTGCTTGTTGTTATGCTATCCTTTAGCTCATCGACGAATGAAAAAATGGCTTCTGCTTGAAAATAAAATATTAAAATCCAACATGAAAGAAGCATCCAGAAAGTTCATCACTGTTTAAAATCTATTTACACTTACTAACAACTCTAAAAAGCATCTTCTTTCTGTAACTTAAGAATTTAGTAGACAGCAACCATATTAAAATTCTTTCAAGGCACCCTGCAGTGCTTATGGAATCACACCTTTCTATCTCAACAGAATAATTCTGAATCATGTATTAAGCCTAACACGACCTGGCAAACTATAAATCTTCATTTGTATACTCTTCATTGTCATCTTGTAAAATGACATACGACCTGATTTTGCTGGCAAAAACCTTTTCATCATGCTGAATTTACAGAAGTTTTCAATTTTTTTTTTCACCCAGTGGCAAAATTTCATGACACTAGAGCAATGAGACTCTCATCACATCATTTTTGTAGAGAAATAACACAAAGCAGTTTACACAAAGATATTTTCTATCACCTAGCAGGGAGTAATTTATGTATCAGAACAAACATTTAATTTGTTCTAAGTTATCTGCTGCAATCCGTTCCTAAAAATATTAGATTTGCTTTTTTATGATGGGCTAGTACATGAACCCAGGTAAAGAAAGAAGTTTGAGACCTCATTTCACATGGGCTATGCTACTTTTCTGGGCATTAAGGAGATCATAAAAACATCATCAAAACTGTAAGTTAAAGTGCATTGACTGAATTTCTTAAATAACAATGAGACGAAAAAGTGACAATGTAATTATTTTTGTTAAAACAAACGTTTTATAATTGACAATATTTTCAAGAGACAGAGTCATGCTCTTGCCTAGGCTGCAGTGATAGGGTACAGTGGCTGTTCACTGGCACCATCATTTCACAGTACATCCTTGAACTCCTGGGCTTAAATAATCTTTCTGCGTCAGCCTCTGGAGTAGCTGGGACTACAGCTGTGCATTACTGCACCTGGCTTTTGTGACTGTGAAAACAGTCAAACTCTAGATAAGTTTCTTAATAAGTCAAGCATAATTGAACTATTTTTTTCCTTACCAACTCTGTAATTGATACTCCTTGTCATTATTGGATTCACTTTGAGATCCCCAGAAATAGACTCTTAGTATGAGTTAAATCACTGAAGATGTTACCTGGGTGATCCTTGGTTGTCTTCGTGGAAGAAAGAATTTACATAAAAGACCAATTTGTAAATAAAGAAAAGTTTTATTGGAAAAGTACAAACACACTCCAAGAGAGGAGGGGGCTGACCCTGCTGGAAACATCCTTACGACATTCTGCATTGTTATCTTCTGTTGCCTCAGTTATTTCTTTGCCCAGTTCTCACCAAAGTTCGGGGGATCCTCCCTTACCGTGCTTAATACACATGCATGGGAAACATTAATCAACACGAATCCTACCTAATGGTGGCACTGCATATTACCACCACCCTGGGAAGGTATAGCAGTCAATTTTGTACTCATTGTGCCTGCTCGGCTCTCAGGAATTCCCCTTTGCCTTTTTTCCTTATCATGATCTAGTTAACAACATTCTGACAGTTTGAAGCTGGAGTACTGAGCATCCAAAGAGGTGTTCTGGGGGTTTCTCTCCAACATGGATACCGCCTCCTTGTGCCTGCTCATGTCTGACTGTCTACTCCTCTTACATTCTCCCTCAAGTGGTTGAGACCCAGAAATCTTTTGGGACATGGGGCAGATATCATTCTCTGTAGCTACTTCCTGCTGAAAAGGGGCATCAACGGTCTTTAGGGTCCTTCCTCCTTGCTTGCTGTCATGGTGAGGAGGTTTTGATGATTGCCTCTTAGAAGGTTTCACCCGTGCTGTCCAGAGGAGACATATAGGGACTTGGTTGTCCTGGAGGGAGAGAAAGAGGTTGATATCCCCATCAGAAGACCATTTGAAGTCTGATGGTTTCTAGGTGGGAGAAAATAAACTGAGAAGATTCAGAGAGCAAGGCTCAAAAAGGAGAAGGAAGATAGAGGCCAGGGGTCCCAGGAAAGGGAAGAGCTATGAGAATGAAGACCAGGTGACACCCCAGCAGAGCCAACTCTTAATATACCTTTACCAAAGATGAGAGGCCTAGTCTGTAAGATCTCTAATGTACTCCTGGACCTGCTCTGATCTGTTAACAGAAAAATACAAGAACTATGTTAGAAATCTGAAAACTAAAGAAAAGAGATACTGTAACTAACCTTTGACAAGTAGCTCTCCATTCTGATATTTGAAGACAATGAGCTTGATGTAGGAACCCTTAAGTCTTCTCTTGGATTATGTATTCTGTTGAGACCTAAACTGTCATTAAACTTCCCATTGCAAGGTGATTCTAGGACTGGCATCATAGTATATGTGGTCAATAAACATCTAGTCTGTTCTGTCACTAGAAGTTTGGTAGTAAAATCTGCTAGAATTTCCTTCTGTAAGACTGCAAAAGATAAATGCTGAGTGTTTATTTTTTTCCCAAATGATGTCTAAATAATGTGTGTGCTGTTTAAAAAGTTTACCATGAATGAATGAAATATACCACAAATGATGTGTTCCTTTTCCAAGTCCATCTGCTCTGAGCTCCAGCTGGCTTGGAGCTCCAATCACTCTGAGCTCCATTTTGCTCTGAGCATCATCTGCTCGGAGCTCCATCTTACTCTAAGCATCATCTTTTCTGAGCTCCATCTTCTCCAAGCTCCAGCTTGCTCAGAGGTCCAATCACTCTGAGCACCATCTTGCTCTAAGCATGATCTACTCCAAATTCCAATGGCTCAGAGCAACGTTTGGAGTGCCAATCACTCTGAGCTCAATCTTGCTGTGAGCATCATCTTTTCTGAGCTCCATTTTACACCGAGCAACATCTGCTTCAAGTTCCATCTTGCTTGGAGGTCCTTCTTGCCTCAAGCTCTATTTATTCCAAGCTCCACATGCTCCAAGCTCCATCTTGCTCAGAGCTCCAATCACTCCAAGCACTATCTTTCTCTAAACACCATCTGCATAGTATTTATCTTACTCGGAGCTTCATCTAGTCAGAGATCCATTTATTCTAAGCTCCATCTTGCTGGGAGCTCTAATCACTCTATTCTCCATTGTGCTGGAAGATCCAATCACTCCCAGCTCCACTTTGCTCTGAGCACCATCTGGTTGGAGCTCATCTTACTCTGAGCAACATGTGCTCTGAGATTCACCTTGCTTGGAGCTGTAATCACTTTGGGCGCCATTTTGCTCTGAGCTCCAAAACCTAGCAACTTCTCCTTCAAACTCCATCTTGCTTAGATCTCATTTTTGCTCAGAGCTCTAGCTACTCCAAGCTGCATCTTGCTCAGAGTTCCAATTGTTCAGAGTGCCAATCACTTTGAGCTGCCTCTTACTCTAAACACTATCTTCTCTGAGGTCCATCTTACACCAGCAACATCTGCTCCAAGCTCCATCTTGCTTGGAGCTCCTTGTTGCTCAGAGGTCTATCTGTTCTGAGCTCCATCTGGTTTGAAACTCCAATTACTCCAAGCTCCATCTTGCTCTGAGCACCATCTGCTTGAAGCTCCATCTGCTCTGAGCTCATCTTGCTTACAGCTCCCATCACTCTGAGCTCCATTTTGCTCTGAACACCATCTGCTCAGACTTTCAGCTACTTGGAGTTGCATTTACTTCACTACATCTTTCTCAGAGCTCCAGTCACTCTAAACTCCATCTTGCTCTGAGCACTCTCTGCTCAGAGCTCCATCTTCTCGTAGGTCCACCTTGCTGAGATTCCCAGTCACTTCCAAATCCACTTTGCTCTAAGTACCATCTGCTCAAAGCTCCACCTTACTACCGTGAGCAGCATGTTCTCTGAGCTCCATCTTGCTCTGAGCACCATCTGCCCTGAGCTGCACCTTACAACAAGCAACATCTGCTCCAAGTTCCATTTTGCTTGGAGCTACTTTTTGTTCAGAGCTCTGTCTGCTCTGAGCTCCATCTTCCTTGGAGCACCAATCTGAGCTCCATCTAAAACCAAGCAATGTCTATTCCAAGCTCCATCTTGCTTAGAGCTCCTTCTTGCTCAGAGTTCCAACTGCTCAGAGCAATGTTCACAGTTCCAATCACTCCAAGCTCCATCTTTCTCTGAGCTCCATCTTACACCAGGAAACAACTTCTGCAAGCTCCATCTTACTTGGAGGTATTTCTTGCTCAAAGTTCTATCTCCTCCTGGCGCCATCTTGCTCAGAGCTCCAATCACTCTGAGCTGTATCTTGCTTTAAGCACCATCTGTACAGAGCTTAATTTTCCTTGGAGTTCTGATCATTCTGAGGTCATCTTGCTCTGAGCACCATCTACCCAAGAGTTCCATCTTGCTCTAAGCACCGTCTGCTCATAGCTCCATCTCACTGTGAACAACATCTTATCTGAGATCTATCTTGCTCTGAGTGCCATTTGCTTGGAACTCCTTCTTACTCTGAATATCTGCTCTGAGTTCCATGTTGCTCAAAGCTCCCTCAGCTCCAAGATCCATCTTGCTGGGAGCTCTAAACACTCTGAGCTCCATCCTGCTGTAAGGACCATCTGCTATGAGCTCCACCTAAAACCAAGCAACATCTGCACCAAGCTCCATCATGCTTACAGCTCCTTATTGGTCAGAGCTCCATCTGCTCTGAGCTGTATCTTGCTCAGAACTCCATGCACTCTGAGCTTCATCTTGCTCAGTGCTCCAATCACTCTGAGCTTCATCTTGCTCTGAGCACTGCCTGTTCTGAGCTCCTATCACTTCAAGCCCCATCTAGCTCAGAACTCCATCTGCTTTTAGCTCTATCTTGCTCACAGCTCCATCTGCTCTAAGCTCAGTCTTGCTCAGAGTTCCATCTGCTCTGAGCTCCATCTTGCTCAGAGGTCCATCTGCTCTGAGCTCCATCTTGCCCAGAGCTCTAACTTGCTCCGAGCTCCATCTGCTCTGAGCTCTAACTTGCTCCGAGCTCCATCTGCTCTGAGCTCCATCTTGCTCAGAGCTCCATCTGCTCTGAGCTCCATCTTGCCCAGAGCTCTAACTTGCTCCGAGCTCCATCTGCTCTGAGCTCTAACTTGCTCCAAGCTCCATCTGCTCTGAGCTCTAACTTGCTCCGAGCTCCATCTGCTCTGAGCTCTAACTTGCTCCGAGCTCCATCTGCTCTGAGCTCTAACTTGCTCCAAGCTCCATCTGCTCTGAGCTCTAACTTGCTCCGAGCTCCATCTGCTCTGAGCTCCATCTGCTCTGAGCTCCATCTTGCTCAGAGCTTCATCTTGCTCAGAGCTCCATCTGCTCAGAGCTCCATCTTCTCTGAGCTCCATCTGTTCAGAGCTCCATCTGCTCTGAGCTCTATCTTGCTCAGAGCTCTATCTGCTCAGAGCTCTATCTGCTCAGAGCTCCATCTGCTCTGAGCTTTACGTTGCTCAGAGCTCCATCTGCTCTGAGCTTTACGTTGCTCAGAGCTCCATCTGCTCTGAGCTTTACGTTGCTCAGAGCTCCATCTGCTCTGAGCTTTATCTTGCTCAGAGCTCCATCTGCTAAGAGCTCCATCTGCTCTGAGCTTTACCTTGCTCAGTGCTCAATCTGCTAAGAGCACCATCTGCTCTGAGCTCTATCTTGCTCAGACCTCCATCTGCTCAGAGCTCCATCTGCTCTGAACTTTATCTTTCTCAGTGCTTCAATCACTCTGAGCTCCATCTTGCTCTGAGCATCATCTGCTCAGAATGAGCCTATATGGATTAATTAGAATTTGGTTCAGCTGTGTAAGTAAAATAAAAGATAATAGTGGCTTTATTTCTTTCTCTCATAAAAAATGTCTGAAGGGAGACAGTCCTGGGGTGGGATGGCAGCCCTATGGTCATTGTGTCTCAGGCTTTTAGCTTTTTGCTTTGCCATCCTCAATGCTTAATTTTCATGTTATGGTCTAAAGTGGCTGCTGGGACTCCAGCCATTCCAACTGCATTCTGGGAAGAAGGGAGGGAGGAAGAAGGCAAGGAAGGAAAAATAAAAGGAGGAAGGGGGAAAGGAAAAAAGAATAATTTTCTTTCTTTTTTTTTTAAAAAAAAGACTTCCTTAAATGATAGCTTATAGTAATTTATCTCTGTCACTGTCCACAACTTACCTGGCCACACAGGAGACTGGAAAATCTACTATTACACTGTAGGTAGCAATGTGCCTCGAATTAGGTTCAGCTACTAAGATAGAAGGCTGGGATAGGCAGCTAGCAATTTTTCTTATACTAACATTTCATTAGTATTTTTTAAGTGTCAGGGTGTGGCTAATCCCAAAAGCTTACAAGCCAAATTGATAATTGACTTTGGGGCTTTTTTTTTTTTTGGAGTATCACTGCAATCTTGAATTCATCAGGGAACAAGCAAGTAAGTGTGGGAAATAATGATTCCAGCCCCTCAACCTTCCCAGTATTCCCATGAACAATATTCATTGATTCCAAGCTACACATTTAAAACATACAAAAAACTGTTCTGAGGCCAAAGAACAGCATGTGTAATTTGGTTTGTTGCCACCAAGGGATGAGAGAGCTTGTGCATGGTCGCGCACAGTGAACGGCAGGCCCACACACAAGCTGAGCTCACTGGAGTTGGGTGTATTCGTGTATTTTCCCTCATCCTTCCCAAAATCCCCAAGATAGGTTATATAAAGAAAAAAACACTGAATTTAAAATATTTCACAGCAAAATATTACACTGAATCTATGACTTTATACTTTCAAGCATTGCAATCCTTCAAATAGCCAGAAGAGACAGAAAGGTAAAGCTGGAAGGACCTTAGAGATTGTCCAGTCTGGGTGCCTCCTTTTCCAGAGAAAGAAACTGTGATGGGGAGTGGTAAAATAGCCTGCCAAAGCTCAAGAGAGATACCATCTCTGGGAGATACCGACTCCCAGGCTCGCTCCATTCTAGCCCCTTTGGGACAGTGGTTGTGTCTGAGGGACCCCTTGGCATTGGAAAACTCCACAGAACAGCCACCTAAGACTTCAGTGACTGCCAGTGAAGTCTAGAACAAAAACATGGAATGAGCATTTTTCCCAGCACCCTTGTGATTAAGGAGAAACAAAGGGGTTCTTCAGAGGTGTAGGGCAGCTTTGATGCCCCAGGGTCCATTCCAAGTGGCCCAGCAGGGATGCTGGACAGAGTAACCAGGGCAGGTGTGGCCTGGGCTCCGGGGCAGCTCATGGGCAGTGGAAGCACTAGCAGGATGTTACAGGGAGCATCAGAGGGATCTGGGGAGGCATTTTCTCTTTCTCCACATCACCGGCCTCTTGGTTCTCCATGAGTTAGTTCTACATTTCTCCAGGGGGTGGATATAAGAATACAGACACCTGGACTTTCCTCCCAGAAATTCTAAACTGGAAGGTCTGGGTAGGGCCCAGAAAATTGTATTTTTACCACGTGTCCCTGGAGATGCTGAGGCAGCCATCTTGCTACTATTTAAGGACAAGTGATCAGGAGGCTCTGCACTGGATGACTCACAGAAAGCCCTACCACCATCCCAGTGCTGCTCTTGTCTGGGAAGACTACTCAGTGAAGAGCTGTGATCCATCCTCTCTTGCTATAATTAAAAGACCCCGTGATTAGAAGTTCTTCCTCAGCCTCAGGCTCCCCTACCTCCCACTTTCAGTGTCTTTTCTTCCCTGGTAATGGGAAGCCAGTCTTCCTGTGCAAACCCTCCACAAACTGGAAGCCTATTACTAGGTCACCTATCAGCCTCTCTGTCCCAATTAAGTAATCTCCATTCCTCTCACCACTTATCCATGCTCTTATTTTCCAACCCAACAATCATTTCCCTGCTTTTCTCTAAATGCTCTCCAAGTTCTCTCCAGTCCCCCTGGGTTGTCTTTGTTGCTAATTCTTCCCTTGAACAGTTTGTGTCTTGTGAGATTAAAAAGGAATTCCTGCTCCAAAAGGATTAGAAGGCTATTTTGAGAAGATGAATTTAAGAAACCTCCCTGCAGCATCACAGCAACCCGAGAAAGAGGGCAGGTTGCATCAGAAAGTCTAAGGAAGGTAGTACAATAAATACTCCATTATTTCCACAGCAACACACCCCAAAAGTTTTCTGGATGCCCACACAGGCAGGAAGGTCTGAAGATCCACCTTCTGGCTCACTGGAAAGCCAGGAAGGACTGCTTAGCTTTCCCTCCATTCACGTGGTAGAGATCAGGGCAGGCTGGGACTACCCGACAGACCGGGGAAGTGGGAGAAAACAGAATCAAATGTGGGAACCAGAGAGCAAAGGGAAGGAGTGTAGGAGATGGGTGGGCCATCGCAGACCCCTGCTAACAATGGCATCCATTTAAACTGTTAGCAGAAATTCACTTTCAAGAAGATTTTTAAGGACGTCAAAAAGTCTTCTCAAGGGGATGATATGAAAAATCAGCCAGGCAAGGTGGAAAGAGAAAGAAAGGAAGTGAGACCAAGAGTAGGACACAAAGCAAGACAAAGTTCAGTGGCTGCTGTGGACCTATTTTCTCCAAAGAACAGAAGAAAGGGAGAAGATAACAGAGGGAAGAGAAGGCAGTGGAAAAGGTGGAAACTGAGTGAGAATCTGCCTTCTCAGCCTTGGTCGTCCAGAAAATATAGCACATATACAACAGGAAATATTATGCAGCCATAAAAAAGAATGAGTTCATGTTTTTGCAGGGACATGGATGAAGCTGGAAATCATTATTCTCAGCAAACTAACACAGGAACAGAAAACCAAACTCTGCATGTTCTCATTTTAAGTGGGAGTTGCACAATGAAAACATGACCACAAGGAGGGGAACACCTTACACCCCAAGGCCTGTCGGGGTAGGGGGAAAGGGGAGTGAGAGCATTATGATAAATACCTAAAGCATGCAGGGCTTAAAACCTAGATGACAGGTTGACACCTGCAGCAAACCACCATGGCACATGTATACCTGTATAAAAAACCTGCATGTTCTGCACATGTACCCCAGAACTTAAAGTAACATTTAAAAAATAATTTAAAAAAGATCAGCCTGGGTAACATGGCAAAACCCTGTCTCTATGATACATACAAAATGATAATAATAATAATTAACTGGGAGTGGTAGCACACACCTGTACTTCTACCTACATGGGAGGCTAAAGTGGGAGGATCATTTGAGCCCAGGTAGGTCAAGGCTGCAGTGAGCCATGATCATGCCACTACACCCCAGCCTGGAGAAAAGAGGGAAAAAAATGGAAGAGGAAGGTAGGAGAGTCAGGAGAGAGATTTGAAGATGCTACACTGTTGCCTTTGAAGTTGGAAGAGGGGCTATGAGCTAAGGAATGCAGGCAACCTCTATAGGAGTTGGGCAAAGCAAGGAAACAGATTCTCCCCCAGCATCTCCAAAGGAATGTAGCCCTGACAATATCCTGATTTTATCCTAGTAAGATGCATTTCAAACTCAGACCTCCAGAATTTAAAGAAAATAAGCTTTTATTATATTAATGGGCTAAGTGAGTGATAATCAGTTACAGCGACCATAGAAAACTAATATAAAAACTAAGAGGCACAGTCATTCCCATTACCCAGTGTAGCTTTCTGCAGTTTCAGTTCCCTGAGTACATCCCAAAAACACCAGGTGGAAAATTCCAGAAATAAAACGTTCAGTTTTCACTTACATGTCATTCCAAAGAGTGTGATGAAATCTTACAGCATCCCAACTGCCCTGACTGGGGCCATCGATCTCCCCTTGTGTAGCCTATCCACACTGTCTACATGACCAGTTCTGCCAGGCACTCAGTAGCTGGCTCAGCTATCAGAATATTGCAGTACATGCATGGGGCAGCAGCAGTGGCAACCCTGGACACTGGCCCCAGTAGCATGGAATCCAGGACCAGATACTGCCACAGTCAGCCCGTAAGTGCGGGAGGGCAGGAGGTGCTCAGTCACAACTCTGCGTCTGAACAGTGCCCAGTGCCTGCAAACCTGTGCTCTGGGCCAGGGCCAAGGAAAAGTGGACCCTAGGGTGGGATGGCGGTACACTCCGTGATCCTCATGCCCTCAGGGAGCAGCCCTGCCAGAATCTGCCATGGGCTCAGCCACAGCTGCCACCTGGAAATGGTGCAAGTCAACATCAGTGGCAACCCTTGGCCCTGTCCTCCCCCATCAGCAGCAGAAAACCCAGGGCCGGATGTCACCATGGCGCCTAATTTAGGTGGTCAGCGGTGCAGCTGCAAGGGGACAGAAACTGGCGTTCTGCAAGGGGACGGAAACCCCATGCTCTGGGTTTGGGTAAAGGAAGCATGGATCTTAGGGTGGGGGAGGTGCCTTGGGCGACTCCCAGGCTCTCTGAGACCAGCCCTGCGGCCTCCCATGCATTCTGCTGCACCTGCTACTTATAGATGGCATGTGGCAGCAGCGGTGACAACCCCTGATCCTGCCTGCCTCCACCAGCAACACAGACCCAAGGGCCAGACCCTGCTGTGGCACCTAAATCAGGCCTCACAGCAGAAGAAGGACTGGAACTGGCGCCCAGCACCATCCCAGTGGCTGCAGGGTAACCAGTGCCCACAACAGCACCCTGGGCCAGGGCCAAAAAGGAAGAGAAGGAGGATGGGAACCAGTGCTCAGCCCCACCCTTGAGGCTGCACAGCACCCGGCACCCAGACCCCGCACTCTGGGCAGGGACAAGGAAGATGGACCCTAAGCAGTGCACTGGGAATTTCTCAGGCCGTCTACGGCCAGCCTCTGCCTTGGGTTCAGCTGCAGCTGCCACTTGCACACGGCCATGCTGCAGCCACAGTGACAACCACTGATGCTGCCTGCCCACTCCAACACAGTGAGGATCCCAGGGCCAGAAGCCTCCACAGCTCCTCATGCAGGCAGTCAGCTCTGCTGCTGCAGGAAAGCAGGAACCAGCCAGTTGGCCTCGAGGATCCAGCAGCTGCAGAGCACCCAGTGACTACCACCCGTTGCTCTGTGCATTGGCCAAGAAAGAGGGGCCCTAGGCTGGGAGGGCTGTCCACTGGACCTGAGTGAGGCCCTCGGGTCTTCTGGGACTAGCCCTGATAGCTGATGCCATGGGCTTAGCTGCAGCCTCCCCTTACAGATGGTGCACGGCAGCCGCGGTGGCAATGCTGGACATGCACGTGGTGGCCAGAAGCACAGAACCAGGGGCCAGATGCCACTGTGGCCCTAATGGAGACAGTAAAGCCCCAGCCACAGGAGGGTGGGAAGTGGCACTCAGCCCCATTCCAGTGGCCACACAGTATAGAGACCCACAGCCCAGCACTCAGGAAGCCACCAAAGAGGAGCGGATCCCAGGGTGGGAGGGGAATATTCTACAACCCTCAGGCCTCACTCAGGTCTGGGACCTGCACTGCCACCCTCTGCCATGGGCTCAACTGCAGCTGCCACCTGCACAGCAGAAGCGGTGGCACAGCAGAAGTGGTGGCAACCCCATCTCTGCCTGCTGCAACCAGCAGCAGGGGACCAAGGGCCCTAGGCTGCCTCAGAGGCTGCCACCTGGCCACCTCTGCACCCCATCCCTGCCCTAGTGGCAGCCAGCCATGCTCCTACCTCTCGGCACTCTGCAGTCTCCATCACTGCCACCCACCGCAGCGAGGCGAGCCATGGTGTTACAGGCTCCAGCCTCCAGCATGCAGCAGATGGCTCTTCCTTCTCCTGGCATGGAGCAGCTGGGCAGGCAAAGCCAGAAAAGCCTAGAACAGGACATAGAGAGTGGTAGCGTTAGACCCCCACCTTGTCATGCTGGCCACTTGGTGCCACGGGCCAGTTTCAGTGAAGGCACTCACACCCACCCTCCAAAGTCCACAACATCTCTTTTTGGCCCAAACTGGCTAGGGAGTGGAGACTAGAGACACCATGGTGCCTGGGCTTCCTGCTCCACAGGAACCACTGGGACCACCCAGGCTGTGCTCACGAAGCAGTAGCAGCAGAAACTCAGCCCCAGCCAGCCCTCCCCACCAATGTGCTCATTCCCATTCCTGAGACCTCCACCCACAGGGCCCTGTCACCCCGTGGTGTCTGCTACTGCATGCCTGGGCATCCTTGGCAGTCTCTGCAACCCAGAATGTGAGGGCTCAAGCCTGGGAATCATGATGGGTCTGGATGCCCTGCTGTAATCAGGATTTTTATATAAACATGTGCCCACCATGCAGGAGAAGATGGTCCTTTAGAGTTTAGAGTCCAGGGAGAGGAGGACCAATCCTCTCTGAGAGACCACTGCTGTCACTGAAACCCCCATCACCTGCCACTGGCAGTGCAGGTTCTGACAGAGGCTCTAACCCTCTGCCACCAGCACTGTAGGCCCAGGACAGTGCCAACACACCATCCTAACCTGCCCCTGCCTTAGACACTGCAGCACTCGATGGCATCCGCAAACCAACCCCCTGCCATGGGCAGCACAGCCCAGGTTAGCACCCCAACCAGCTCCCTGTGGTGGGCAGTGTAGCCACAGATAATGTCCCCAACCAGACCCCCACCTTAGGCAGTGATGCCCCCATCTGGCACCCAAGCCACCCCCTACTGCAAGCACTGCAACCTTGAACTGTGAGTGCCCTAGCCCACTCCCCATCCAGAACAGTGCGGCCCTGGATAGTGCCCCCAACCAACTCCCTGCCTTGGCCAGTGCAGCCATGGAGAGCACTTTAAACTCCCTCTCCACCTTGGGACGTACCACCATGGATACCTCGGGTAGCCCCTGATAGTGCACCCAACCTGCCCCTGCCACAACCAATGCAGTCCGGAATAGCACACTCACCCACTCTTTGCCAGGCAATGCAGATCCCTGAGAACATCCGACCCACCTGCCACCTCCCCGCCCAACTCAGTCTGTGTATCCGGCCCCAGGAGTGCCCCCAGCAACCCTTTATCACCCTCCACAGGCAGTCCAATCTTGTGTAGCTCTCCCAACAAGCTCCCCAACCTCTGTCTCAGTGTAGTCTCCATAGCACCTTTAACACCCCCTCCCTGCCACCAGCAGTGTAGCACCCTATAGTAACCCTAACCCACCCTCCACCACAGGGAAGCCCCAGATAGTGCCCCCAACCCACTCCCCATGTAGGCAATGCAGCCTTGGATAGTGCTCCCAACCAGCTCCCAGACACCGGCAATGATGTCCTGTATATCACACCCCCCACCCACTGGGGGCAATGTAACACCTGATAGCACCCCAACACACCCCTCACCGCCGGCAGTGTTGCACCCCATAGTGCCACCAACCCATCTCCAACAAGGGCATTGCAGCACCTCATAGCTCATCTAACTCACCCCCCACCTAGGGCAGTACATCCCTGGATAGTGCCCACAAAATTCCCCACTGCTGCTGGCAGTACTGCTTGGGACAGGCCCCACCCCCTGGCAATGGGCAGCACACCCCAGGAAAGGGCCCCCAACCCTCTACCCTCTGCAGGCAGTGGCGCCTCAAATAACCCCCCCAACCAGGCTCCCCAACGACAGCAGTGACACCCTGGATAGTGCCCACTGCCCACGGCAGGTCACCCCCAAGCCGTCCCCCATGACTCAGGCTGTGCAGGCCAGGATGGTGAACCTATCCCACCATCTTTTTACCTTTCCAGCTGCACTGTAGTCTCTGTCACCACCACTACCCGCAACAGGGAGGCGAGCTGATACTGCAGACTCCAGCCTCCAGCATGGGCAATGGGCGGCTCCTCCTCCTCCTCCTCCTCCTCCTCTAAGCGAGCTCCGAGCAGGTAGACTTGTTCTCATCCAACCGGAAGCTATTCTGGCCAGGCCGAGCTGCGGCCCCTTTAGGAGGGGGTGGTGCTTCAGCTTGAGGCGAGTGACGCTGCCAGCGTGCGTGCCCCTATGGAAGCCAAGACTGCGCTTCCTGTGAGGATCTGGGAAGAGTGACCACGCGGCCGGAGGGAGTCAGCAGAGGCGTTGGTGCGGCTGGCGGGAGTCAGCCAGCAGAGGCCACGGCCCAGTCAGAGGGACCAGAAGAGGCAGCCGCGGCCCGGCAGGATGGTGTCAGCCAGCAGCGGTGGCGGTGGCCCGGCAGGAGGGAGTCGGCCAGCAGCAGCAGCAGCCATGGCCAGGCAGGACGGTGTTGGCCAGCAGCGGCAACGGCGGCGGCCGGGTCAAAGGGAGTCAGCCAGCAGCGGCCAGGCGGCCCAGCCAGAGGGAGGCGGCCAGCAACTGCCAGTGGCCCCGCTGGAGGGAGTTGGCCGGCAGCAGCGGCAGTGGCCCAGCCAGAGGGAGTCGGCCGGGAGCGGCGGCAGCCTGGTGGGAGGGAGTCAGCCAGCAGCGGCCAGGCGGTCCCGCCGGAGGGAGGCGGCCAGCAGAGGCAGCGGCGCGGTCAGAGCGAGTTTCTTCAGAGAAGCCGTGTTGGCTTCCACGCGATGGTGAAGGAGGAGGCAGGTCTTTGCGGTAAGTGGCGGGGACTCGTACCCCACCGGGAACCCTTCAGACCTCCCTGCTCCTTCTGCGCAGCTCCCTGCTTTATGGTCCTGACTTCTTTGTGGGCATTTGGGCTCCAGTCATCTGCGTGGGGGTGGTTGTAGGGTCCTGGCCGTGGCAGCATCCACAACCTTGCTGGGAAAGCTGGGCCCGTGTCTGACCCGCATCCAGCGTCTAGGAGGGCACAGGCCCTGAGCCATGGTGAAGCCCGGGACCTGGGTCCCTCCGAGCCCCACGGCCCTGTGAGCTGGGGTATCCTAATTTTCATTTCCACCTACAGTGTATGAGTTCCCCTTTTTCTAAAACCACACCTGCATGTCTCCTTTTTTTTAAGAGACTGAGTCTGGCTCTGTCACCCAGGCTGCAGTGCAGTGTCGCAATCTCGGCTCACTGAAACCTTCACCTCCCGGGTTCAGGCAGTTCTCCTGTCTCAGCCTCCTGAGTAGCTGGGACTACAGGCATGTGCCACCACACCCAGCTAATTTTTTGTATATTTGGTAGAGATGGGGTTTCACAGTGTTAGCCAGGATGGTCTCGATCTCCTGACCTCATGATCCACCACCCCAGCCTCCCAAAGTGCTGGGATTACAGGTGTGAGCCACTGCACCTGGCTGTTTCTTATTTTCTTTAGAGACAGGGTCTTGCTCTGTCACCCAGGCCTGAACACAGTGGCGTGATCACAGATAAATGCAAACTTGAACTCCCAGGCTCAAGCAATCCTCCTGCCTCAACCTCCCAAAATGCTGGGACTACAGGCACCCACCACCAGGCCTAATTTTTTTTTTTTTTTTTTTTAGTATAAGTAGAGATGAAGTATCACCAAGTTGACCAGGATGGTCTCCATTTCTTGACCTCGTGATCCCCCCTGGATTCCCAAAGTGCTGGGATTACAGGCATGAACCACCATACCCGGCAGCCTGTCCCTTTTTTATTGTTAAATAGCATTAAGGGCCAGGCACAGTGGCTCATGCCTGTAATCCCAGCACTTTGGGAGGCCGAGGCAGGTGGATCATGAGGTCAAGAGATCGAGACCATCCTGGTCAACGTGGTGAAACCCCGTCTCTACTAAAAATACAAAAAATTAGCTGGGCATGGTGGCACATGCCTGTCATCCCAGCTACTCAGGAGGCTGAGGAAGGAGAATAGCCTGAACCCAGGAGGCGGAGGTTGCGGTGAGCCGAGATCACCCCATTGCACTCTAACCTGGGTAACAAGAGCGAAACTCCGTCTCAAAAAAAAAAAAAGCATTAAGGCTGGGCTCGGTGGCTCACTCCTATAATCCCAGGACTTTGGGAGGCTGAGGCAGTGGATCTTGAGGTTATGAGATCGAGACCATCCTGGCCAACATGGTGACATTCCGTCTCTACTAAAAATACAAAAATTAGCTGGGTGTGGTGGCGTGTGTCTGTAGTCCCAGCTACTAGGGAGGCTGAGTCAGGAGAATCACTTGAACCTGGGAAGTGGAGGAAGTGGAGGTTGCAGTGAGCAGAGATGGTGCCACTGCATTCCAGCCTGGGCTACAGAGAGAGACTTCCTCTCAAAAACAAAAGAAATAGTATTGCATTATATGGATGTATTACAATTTGTTGATGGAGCTTGGGTTGCTCTACCTTTTGGCTCTTACAAATGAAGCTTGTAAGGACATCCATGTACAAGTCTCTATATAAACATACCTTTTTTCCTTTTGGGTACATATCCAGGAGTAGAATAGCCAGCTCATAGGTATATGTTTCAACTTTGTAAGAAGCCACACAAATGTTTTCTAAAGTGTGTTTGCGCAATTAATTTCTCATCCCTACCAGCTATGTGTGAGAGTTCCGGATCCTCCACACATGGTCAGTCTCTTTAATTTTAATTTATTTTTATTTTTTGAGATGGAATCTCACTCTCTCACCCAGGTTGGAGTGCAGTGGCACAATCTGCAACCTCCATCTCCCTGGTTCAAGTGATTCTCCTGCCTCAGCCTCCGGAGTAGCTGGAATTACAGGCATCTGCCACTGTGCCTCAGCTAACTTTTGTATTTTTTGTAGAGACAGGGTTTGATCACGTTGGCCAGGCTGGTCACAAACTCCTGACCTCAGGTGATCTGCCTGCCTTGGCCTCCCAAAGTGCTGGGATTATAGGCATGAGCCACCACGCTGGCCCAGTCTCTCTAATTTTAATCGTCCTAGTATATGCGAAGCGCCATTACACTGTGGTTTAAATTTGCATTTCCTTGGACTAATGATATTGAGCATCTTTTCATGTGCTTATTGGCCACGTGTACATCTTCCTTGGTGAAATAACTGCTTAATAACTGCCACTACTTTATGATACCTCACAAATTTTAATGCATTGTATTTCTATTTTATTTACTAATTTAGTGAGATGGAGACTTGCTCTTTTGCCCAGCCTGAAGTGCAATGGTGCAATCTCAGCTAACCGCAGCCTTCACCTCCTGAGTTCAAGTGATTCTCCTGCCTCAGCCTTCTGAGTAGCTGGGATTACAGGCTCCCACCATCCATGCCTGGCTAATTTTTGTATTTTTAGTAAAGATGGGGTCTCACTATGCTAACCAGGCTGGTCTCAAACTCCTGACTTCAAGTGATCCACCTGTCTCATCCTCCCAAAGTGCTGGGTTATAGGCATAAGCCACCGTGCCCAGCTGTATTTCTATTTTAATTCAAGTCAAATCACTTTCTAATGTTTCTTTTAATTTTTTCTTTGATCTGTGGGTTATTTAGAAGTGTGTTTTAGTTTACAAATATTTGGGAACTTTTCAGAGACCTTTCTGTTATTGATGTCTAATTTAATTCCATTGTGATCAAAGAACATACTTTGTTTACTTTGAATCCTTTAAAATGTGTTGAGGTTTGTTTTACAGCCCAGAATATGGCCTGTCTTTTTCAACGTTTTATGTGCAGGGGGAAAGAATGTCTATTCTGCTGTTGTATAGATGCAATACAAATGTCAATTAGGTCAAGTGGGTTGACAGTGTTTTTCAAGGCTTCTGTATCCTCACTTGTTTTCTGTCTACTTGTTCTATTATTAAGATATGCATATTAATTTTTTTTGAGCTGGCATCTTGCCCTCTTTTCCAGGCTGGAGTGCAGTGGCATGATCTCAGCTCACTGCAACCTCTGCCTCCTAGGCTCAAGTGATTCTCCTGTGTCAGCCTCCTGAGTAGCTGGGATTACAGTCATGTGCTACTGCATCCGGGTAGTTTTTGTATTTTTAGTAGAGATGAGGTTTTGCCATATTGGCCAGGTTGATCTCAAACTCCTGACCTCAAGTGATCTGCCTGTCTTGAGATAGAGCTTCACTCCTCCCAGAGGCCTGCTGGGATAACAGGTGTGAGCCATGCACCTGGACGGAATATTAAAATACTTGACAATAATTGTGAATTGGCCTATTTCCTTTTCTTTTTTTGAGATGGAATCGCGCTCTGTCCCCCAGGCTGGAGTGTAGTGGCATGATCTCACCTCACTGCAACCTCCACCTCTTGGGTTCAAGTGACTCTCCTGCCTCAGCCTCCCAAGTAGTTGGGACTACAGGCACATGCCACCACGCCTGGCTAATTTTTTGTATTTTTAGTAAAGATGGGGTTTCACCATGTTAGCCAGGATGGTCTCAATCTCCTGACCTCATGATCCGCCCGCCTCAGTCTCCCAAAGTGCTGGGTTTACAGGTGTGAGCCACTGCACCTGGCTGAATTTGCCTATTTCACTTTGCAGTTTTATATATTATAAAAGGCTGGTTTTTTAATTCTACTTTTATAGTCATTTAAAATATATTATTCACATAACACAAATATACCATGTTAGAGTGTGAATACACTATGTATATCCATGTAATACAATACTGTTTAAATTTAAATATATCATTCACATAACACAATTCACCATGTTAAAGCTGTGTTGTGTAACCATCGCCATTTAATTTCAGAGCGTTTATATCTCCTGCCAAAGAAACAGTATACCCATTAGCTCTCCTCTCCCCTTCTCTTCCTTCGCCTCCTCTTTTATCTTTGAGTCAGGGTTTCACTCTGTTGCCCAGGCTGGAGTGCAGTAGTACACTCATGGCTCATGGCAGCCTTGACCTTCTCAGCCTCTTGAGTAGCTGGGATCATAGGTGTGCACCACCACACTTGACTAAGTTTTGGATTTCTGAAGAGACGGGGTCTCACCATGTTGTCCAGGCTCATAGCAGTTAGTTTCAATTTAACTCTTCCCACAATGCCTAGCAACTACTAATCTACTTTCTGTCTATAGATTTGCCTCTATTCTGGACATTTCATATAAACAAAATCTTTTAATATGTGACCTTTTGTAACTGGCTTCTTTACTTAGCAAAACATCTTCAAGGTTCATCCATGATGTGGCATGTATATGTATATACATACAGTGAAATGTATTTAAGGCCAAATACATTTCAGTGCATGTATATACCACGTTGCATTTGTCAGTTAATCTATCAGTGGATACTTGGGTTGATTGAACCGTTTTGTTTGTTTGTTTTTGAGACACGGTCTTACTCTGTCATCCAGCTGTAGTGCAGTGGGGCAATCATAGCTCGCTGCAGCCTCTAATTCCTAGACTCAAGTGATTCTCCCACCTCAGCCTCCCAAGTAGCTGCGATTACAGGCATGC